CATGGGAAAGTATGTATTGAAGTCAATGGGGAGAGAAAGATGATATTTCGGTCCCGTTTGAATTGTGCCATGAATTACACATATGATGTTTGTCAATCTTAAAAAATTATTTCCATGTCAAAAAAGTCACAGTTTGTCGTAAAACTGTTGAAATATAAGACTATGAAAAATACGCAACTAGAAAGACTACAAATCCCAGAGTCCTGGTCCCGCATGCTGGCTCTTAGGAACCGACTCACTCCCCTTGTGTGTATGTACAGCTCTCAACGTGCCCAGACTTGGAGTGATTTTCACCTCTTTGAATACTTTCCGCCTCATTCTGAAAGAAAGAAGTGAAATGTGCCAACGTGACGGCCGTCTGGGTGTGTGGTGCGAGACGGGAGATGTAGTTCATGGAGCGGTTTCACACAAAAAAAGTGTTACTTCAGTTTTACGACACATTTTTATTTTTTTGACTTGCAAAATTATCTTTTAAATTGACAAACATCATATGTGTAATTCGTGGCACAATTCAAACGGGATCGAAAGATAATCTTTCTCTCTCCATTGACTTCAATACATACTTTTTCCTAACTAAGGTCCCATGGAGCTCAACCGGAAGGGGAGGGACTTCGCCTCTCTATAAGGGCCTTTTTGCACTTTGTGGTAAATAACCGTATCCTTTTCATTTTACTGCACTCCACTTGTTGACAATTTTACACAGAAAGTAATAGATTTCTAGGTAAAATGTTTTGTATTATTACGATTTTCTCATAATTAAGCTACAGTTTCAATATGTAATTGAGTTTTCAAGCCGAAGTGTACCCTTTCTCTCTCTAATTTGACTTGTAGAAGTTTCACAATTTCAAAATATGTGATCCAGATCCTTATCTAGTTAAAGACACATGTGTCCTTCCAACATCTATGTACTATTTGCCAGTATATGATGTGTCACTCCCCTCCATGCTGTCCCATATAGACACAAATAAACACTATAATGTTATTAAATCACTTGGCCAACCTCTGTGTAAAGCGCTGGAAGGAGATCGTGATGTATCGTGGTCTCGTTTGCCAAGGTTTTCTGGGCTGATTGAAGCTCTCAGGTTGCCACAACACGTGTTTGGTGGGAAACAGACTCTGGCACAAACCGTGTGTGTTCAATCAGAGTCTCTTCATTTGCCAAGTAAACATATTTGCCATGGAGGCATCAAAGAAGGGATGAATGTCAGTGTGTGTCCTTCCATGTTCTTCCCTTTTATATGCTTAAACATTACATTTAGGAACCAACATTTCCCACTTGTATAGCTATTTATATATACAGTATACTTACTGGTCAACGGCATTCCTTTTTGAAGTGTTTTCATCACTGTAAACAACATGTGTTAAACTCAAGGCCCGGGGGCCAAATCAGGCCCTTGGTGGATTTAATTTCGGCCCGCAGGATAATTTCTAATTACTATTAGATCTGGCCCGCCGGTATATTGCACGCACACCTTCACTCCATCCTGAGGGTCTCCTCAGCTCAGAGCCTGACCCCAAACATTGATGAACTAGCACCCAAGATGAGATGCCAAGTATCTGAGCTAGCATCACAGAGCAGCACACTGAGTTTACATGGATGTTTCCTTCTGCACTTTCTCTCTCACGACAACAGGGCATGCTTGGTTTGTTCTTTGAGGGAAATAGTTTTGTTGAAGCTGTTGTTGGCCTGTGGAGAAATGTACTCATAAGAAATGACTGAGGAGAAGCTGCAGATGGAGCCATAAGAAATGAATGCAACTGATTATTTAATGTTTCATGTTGTTTTTATAGGCAATCATTTAAGCTTTGTTAGTTCCAGGTTTAATATGTGCAATAAGTTCATTTCAATAAGTTCTGCAATAAACATTGAACCAGTCCGGCCCTCGACTAGCACCCATTTTTTAATGTTGGCCCACTGTGTATTTGAGTTTGACCCCCCTGCTGTAAACGCACACATTTTCATGCGTCGTATCAAACGCTAATCAAACGTTCCTAAACCGACACTTCAACTACTTTAAGGACGCGAGGTGTTCCCTTTCCTGTAGTTTGTTCTATAGGTTTTAGTGCATGTCAATGGTCTGCAAAGGCTAAAATCCCAAAGTTCCCCAAAAACCTGTTTGAACATCTGCTTTAACTCCACTGTGCTTACATGTCATTCACTAAGAAGTGTAATACCTATCAATGTATGTATGTTACAAATACTTGAACTTAATGTTGCTCATAACAACGTGTAACACTAGTGTCATGTAGCCTCTTGTTTGGACTTTACACTTCAGACTGGTCCATTAGCCTTCAGGAAGGTGCTTCTCCTCAGTCTATTGTTTGATAAGTCTCTCTCAGTGTTGTCGCAGTAACTTTCTGAATGTCTAATTCCATCTTTCCTCCATGTAATTAGCTCCAGCAATGACTTTATGTAAAATAGTTGTGCCAAGTTTTAATTGATTAAAAGACGGCGTGTTATTGCGACGAAGAACAATGTAGATCCAATTAGCACTGTAACGTGTAAACATGAACACTAACTCCCAGGGTGCACCAGGTGTGTGTGTGTGTGTGTGTGTGTGTGTGGTGTGTGTGTGTGTGTGTGTGTGTGTGTGTGTGTGTGTGTGTGTGTGTGTGTGTGTGTGTCTGTGTGTGTGTTGGTGTGTGTGTGTGTGTCTGTGTCTGTATGTGTGTATGTGTGTGTCTGTGTGTGTGTGTGTGTGTGTGTCTGTGTGTGTGTGTGTGTGTGTCTGTGTGTGTGTGTGTGTGTGTGTGGGTGTGTGTGTGTGTATGTGTGTGTGTTGGTGTGTGTGTGTGTCTGTGTCTGTATGTGTGTATGTGTGTGTCTGTGTGTGTGTGTGTGTGTGTGTGTCTGTGTGTGTGTCTGTGTGTGTGTGTGTGTGTGTGTGTCTGTGTGTGTGTGTGTGTGTGTGTGTCTGTGTGTGGTGTGTGTGTGTGTGTGTGTGTGTCTGTGTGTGTGTGTGATGCAGTCTCATTTCTTAATCATCACTTTCTGCTCCAGATGAGAGTTTATGAGGGGACTAAATTGCCTTAAAGGGATTTCCTATTAAAGGGATTACACCCATGTAATCCCCTTTGTCCCAATGGACCCCCAAAAACCTGAACACACACACACACACACACACACACACACACACATAGTACATAAACAGATTAGCATGTGTAAATCAAGGTGCACATTGTTTTTGATATGCTCCAAATGAAAACACACGTTAAACGACTTCGTCTCGGTAAAAGTGTGAGTGTGTACGTTAATTACCCCGAAAGTAGAAGTGTGTGTGTTTATAACCTTGACATGCATCTGTTTTGTGCACAGTGTGTGTGTGTGTTTGACGGTGTGTGTGTCTGAGCGTTTGTGTAGCGTAACGCGGTGGTTTTTGGCTACGCTCCCTCGTCTCATCCCCAATTAACGAAGACAAATCCGCTTCTATCGCTGCTAATGAGAGTCTTTAAGGTGAAGGGACTCTGTATTTATTTAATAAGAAGAAGCTTATTTATTCCATTTCCAGGAGAATGAAAAGCCGCCACTGATTCGCTGAGGGACGGATTAGAAGAGGAGGAAGAGTTTAGAAGAAGGGATGAGAACAAGATGGTTGGAAAAGGGGAACAATGGGTGAGGGAAGAGCAGAGAGCGAGTGGATCAGAGGAGAAGGGAAAGGAGGAAGGTGGATGACATTTGGAATGCTTTGATGATGATGAAGAGGAGGGAGGAGTGAAAAAACAATAACATAGAAAGAGGGAGGAAAGAAAGGAAATGAATGAGGAAGATATCCTTGCAAATTCGAAAAATATGTGGGAGGAATATACTAAAAAAAGACTAAATTGTTAAGAAAGAAAAGGTGGAGAAGAAGAGATGGAGGAGGAGGTTTATTGAGGACATGTTCTGCTCAGCTACACACTACAGCTTCGTATGTAGTGTCCTCTCTTGCTGATGTTCAGGTGTATATCAGTATGTAGTGTCTCTACTTTAAAGAGTCCTCTCCTGCTGATGTTCAGGTGTATATCAGTATGTAGTGTCTCTACTTTAAAGAGTCCTCTCCTGCTGATGTTCAGGTGTATATCAGTATGTAGTGTCTCTACTTTAAAGAGTCCTCTCCTGCTGATGTTCAGGTGTATATCAGTATGTAGTGTCTCTACTTTAAAGAGTCCTCTCCTGCTGATGTTCAGGTGTATATCAGTATGTAGTGTCTCTACTTTAAAGAGTCCTCTCCTGCTGATGTTCAGGTGTATATCAGTATGTAGTGTCTCTACTTTAAAGAGTCCTCTCCTGCTGATGTTCAGGTGTATATCAGTATGTAGTGTCTCTACTTTAAAGAGTCCTCTCCTGCTGATGTTCAGGTGTATATCAGTATGTAGTGTCTCTACTTTAAAGAGTCCTCTCCTGCTGATGTTCAGGTGTATATCAGTATGTAGTGTCTCTACTTTAAAGAGTCCTCTCCTGCTGATGTTCAGGTGTATATCAGTATTTAAGAGTCCTCTCCTGCTGATGTTCAGGTGTATATCAGTATGTAGTGTCTCTACTTTAAAGAGTCCTCTCCTGCTGATGTTCAGGTGTATATCAGTATTTAGTGTCTCTACTTTAAAGAGTCCTCTCCTGCTGATGTTCAGGTGTATATCAGTATGTAGTGTCTCTACTTTAAAGAGTCCTCTCCTGCTGATGTTCAGGTGTATATCAGTATGTAGTGTCTCTACTTTAAAGAGTCCTCTCCTGCTGATGTTCAGGTGTATATCAGTATGTAGTGTCTCTACTTTAAAGAGTCCTCTCTCTCTCACTTTTTGTCCTGATCCATTTATATAAAAACCTGTCTGAAAATGAGCTGATCAGATTTTGGCCACTTTATGATGTCATAACGATGTTTTGGCTTGTGTAACAATTAGCCAATCAGCAACCAAGGATCAATCAGAGACAGGTTCTGTATATATCTGAGACCTGTGATATATTGATGAGAAACAGTGCAACAGGGGACCTTTAAAGTATGTTGTGTGGTCTCTCTGTGCAGGTGGAGCTAACAGGCAGCAGTGTGTTTGACTACATCCACCCTGGAGATCACGCGGAGACGGCAGATCAGCTCGGCATGAAGCTTCCTCCGGGCCGAGGCTTGTCTCTTTCCCAGGGAAACGTCAACGAGGACGGGGCCTCATCGGCTTCATCCTCGTCCCACTCTGAGACGCCTGAACCAGGTAGGAAACAAGGGAACGAGGAAACAAGGGAACGAGGGAAGAGGAATTTGGCTTTTTTTCCACAGGCTTTCATGACCAAAACAAGGGAACGAGGGAAAAAGGCTGGAGGAATGTGTCTGTTTCTTCCAACGGGGTTTAAAGACCAAATATCAATCAATCAATCAATCAAGACAAATCAAGCGTCTTGGAGCACTGGGGAAAGCGCCATAAAAGTGAAATGTATTATTATTATTATTAAATATGGAGCTTACAAGGTGTATTTAATGTCACTCAACAATGAAAGTGCAATAGTGAGAGATGTCAGAGCAAGATGAAGGAACATGGAAAGTTTTAAGGTACAAAAAGTTACGAAATTAAAGTATAGTTGGGAGTGAAGGGATCAAGAGGAAGATGAGGATACACAGAGTATAAGGGAAAGTGAAGCTGGTTGTTTGGACTGAATAATGAATTCAATCTACAAATAAACCCATATTTAGATAAACAGATACATAAATCCATCCCTACATGTTCAATAACTTCCTTCATTCCTCTCACCTGTCTTCTAAACAGTATCAGAAGAACTACTCCCTTTCACTTACTAACTTTCGTTTGACCAAAACAAACCTATTGTTAAACATTTCCGTCCGTATTTGTTGCCTTAGAGTTTGTCGAGGAGATCAATGTAAGTTTCTGTCCGTAATGATGAAGATCCAGCAGCTCATTGTCTTAGCTTAGCATAAAGACTAGAAGACGAACACTCGTTTGTATTGGTCATATGTTTCCCAATGTGTCTATTCTTTATGCTAAGCTATGCTAACCGGCTGCTGGTTCGAGCTTCAAAGTTAATACACAAATATGATAGTGGTTTCGATTACATCTTATTGACGCTTTTTCTCCAAAGAGACTTACTTTCGTACACTTGTCTACGGCAGCTATGTGGGGGTTTGTATCTTGCCTAAATTGCCCAATGTAGTGCAGTAACCCCCTGAGCAACAGCCCCAATTGTCTTTCATCAAACTGGCAAAATATATAAATTTTAATTCCCAAAATTCTGACTATTCCCTTAAATAAAGCCACGTTAAAGGTAGGGTAGGTAAGTTTGAGAAACCAGCTCGAGTGCGCTAGAATTTGAAAATAATGTACACAACCGGAGAAGATCTGCCACTTCCTTACAGAGCCCCGCCTCCAACACACACGAACGCGCACATGACCAATGAGGGCACGAGATAAGTTTGTGCACAGATGGAAGGCTGACAGGCAGGTAGGCCATCCAGTTATTTTAGCCGGGCCGGCTCAGATGATTGGTCGTACTACGGCTTCCACAGATGATATTTCTTTATGTATTTATTGTCAAAGCACTTCAGATATTCATTGCTATCGGGATGTTAAGAGCATTCCATGGAATATAACAACAAGTGTGTCTCGAGCCGGTTTCTCAAACTTACCTACCCCACCTTTAAGAGAGACTACGATGATTCTGGTCGCTCCCCATATTTCTCTCACCCTGATGCGTCATTCCTTCCCTTCTGTAAGTTGAATATAATTAGCGCGCCACGTTGTAAAGCTGTGAACCGGAAAATAAAACATCCCTCATTGGGATTCGTTGCGTTGCTTCCATCCAATGCACCATATGTTCAACACTCTCTACCTTCCACGTGCTTTTCATTGTGCCTCTTTCTCTCGCTCTCTGATGATAATTTAAGTATTAGGGGAAAATCCATTTATAAATTAAACAAAATGACTTGATATCCATCGAGTCCCTTAGTTCATCAGCCTGTTCAAACAAGGAGGGGAAGATTGTCTTCGCGGTGGCCGGGGTCTTCGGAGACGGCGCGGTAATTAGATCTGCCGTGGATTTATTCTTGGCTGATTGGTGCCTGTGATGGGTGAGGGGCGGCTTTCAATTAATTGGAGTTCTACATTTGAGTTTTTTTGTACTTTCTCTGCAAAAAAAAAACCTCCAACTGAGCCTCCCCCGTGCAGCAAACTGGAGATAAGAAGAGGGATAAGAAGTCATATATGTGGCCGTCAATGTCAATATGTCTGGAGAGAAAGATAAGGAGAAGATCTGAGACAAGCACGGGTGTTTCCTCAATGCTAATTTGTCCAGAAGATAGAAAGACTTGAACGAGAAGAAAAAGGGGGATGTTGTATTATATGAATGTCTCAGTGATTCCCAAAGTTAATTTGACCAGAGAGAGAAAAGGAGCAAAGGAGAAGAAGGAGGGGGTGAGGACAAAGGTGTTTGTTCTGCCATGTTAATTTGCCTAGAGAGAGAGATGGAAAGAAAGCGAGGCAGGGGATGTAGGGACGTGTTTGAATGTGCATGAGTGCTTAGCAATGTTAATTTGTCCAAAGAAGAAGAGCGAGACGGGAGGTTTCAGACAGACATGTATGGATGTGAAGGAGTGATCCCCAATGATAATGTGACCAGAGAGAGAGGAAGAGGGAGGATTAGGATTCATGTATGTGTTCTTTAATGTTAATTTGTCTGGAGGAAGAGAGGTGGAATAAAACGCCAGAGGAGGACGAGGAGGAGGAAGGCTGGTATGAATCTGTATGAGCGTCTCCCAGGAGGAGGCGGGGCTTATTTCCGGCGTCCGGGGGAATCGGCCTTTTTATTCCTCCAGCAGACGATGTGAGGTGACTTTCAGGCCGAGAGCTTGAACTCTTGGATGGACATTTGGATTGTTTCATCAATACAATGAGATGCTGAAGAACCAGTGGTGCATTGTTTGCATTTGGTCGACTCCCGAGTGCACTGCGTTCTCTTGGGTTCAGACTACACAATGTTCCTGTCTGTTACAATGGTCATTGTGTTGGATTAGGAGATGATAGAGTTGTACATTTTTGCAGTGACTTTGCCGAGAGAAATGCCACGTTCGGGACCAGACCAATCATAGAGTTGCAACGTGCTTAAAGTTAAAGAAAGTGTTATGAACCAGCTCTCAGGAACAAACAACGGCGGGGCGAAAGACGATGGCTGTCTTGTCTTCAACAAAGCTTTAAAAAAGTTAAGAAAAAGCATCTGATCTTTATTGACCTGGTGCATTGTTTCCATTTGGTCGACTCCCGAGTGCACCGTGTTCTCTTGAGTTCAGACTACACAATGCTTCTGTCTGTTACATTGGTCATTGTGTTGGATTAGGAGATGATAGAATTATAGAGTTCTTGCAGTGACTTTGCCCAGAGAAATCAACCAGACCTATCAAAGATGGCCGTCCTTCACAACTTGCATAGTGTCATTGCATAGGAGGTCTTGGACACTACATTTTTTAGGGAGAAGAATCCAAACAAACCATGGCATGTTGGCTGTCTTTTCTTTGACAAAGCCTCAAGAAAGTAGCACCGAAAACAACTTTACTAATACGTTGGAAAAGCATTCTCAACCCATAGATGCACAATCGGTTGTTGCTCACCAAGAAAGACTGAAAGGAAAAGAAAACCGTTCGTTGGTCACCCATTGATGTTCCTGATACGAGCTCACAATCTGTAGGGTTAGGGTTTACGGCTTTTAAAGGTCCCATGTCACGGCCATTTCTACTGATCATAATTCCATTGTTGAGGTCTACTAGAATACATGTATATTGTTCAATGTTCCAAACTCACATTGGTTTCTCATACAGCATCTCTGTATAGTATGTGTATTCACTCTCTGTCCTACACGGCTTGTTGGAGCTCCTGCCCCCCCCCCCTCCCTGTGAGCCCAGTGTGCTCTGATTGGTTGGGACGTTGCGAGGCTCGCTGCTCACTGAGCTGGCTTACTGGTGTGGTTTCCGGGTCGGCGATACAGCGAGAACAAGCTAAACTCATCCTGAGCACACACACTCGAAGTAAACACAATAAGTGTGGCTTGATATTGAGTAAGAAAAAGGTTTCTAACGCTGTGAGAATGGGTCTGCGGAGAGCATTTCTCCACCATCCCAACTCGTCTATTACCAACCAGGGAGCTCTATGCAAGTCAATGGGACTCCCTGTTAGTTGAAAATGTACGCTAACGGTCCTGGTGTGTGAGGAGCCCCGCGGATTGGTCCATTTTGTTTCTTCCGGGAACCGCATGACAGAAACAATGGAGAAAGAGAAATGTCCAACGAGGCGTTCTGGGGCAGCATAGACAGCTCTTCTCTGTGTCTGAGTTTTACTCGCTACAGGGTGTACTTTGAGGGTTTGTGACTCTGCAGAAAAACCTTCATAACACAAGGGGACGGGTGATAACAAGAAAAGCATGACATGGGCCCTTTAAAAAACGTTCACAGCGTTAATTATTCGATTTTTTTTTCTGGAATCATTAGCAAGGTCATCAGTGCAATGATAGCTATCACGTTTTCATACGACAAAAACTGCAACAACAATTTAAGTCGACTAAAGTAGTAAAATATTTAATAAAGCTTTAAACTTTTGAGTAAAGAGTGCCTTTGGAGCAAGAGATAGATATAGAAACATAGAAATACATGTTTATGTTGCAGTAGGGTTCAGTTCTCACAGTTGTTGCTCAGGTGAGCTAATTCTTAAATAAATAGTTGGAATAGTGTTGTGATAAGCACATGTTTCAATGAGGGGTTAAGTTAACATTACATTCACAGCATCCTCTCTTCCAGACGGTGATTAATGCATTTCCACAGGCGTCTTCGTCATTAGTTTCCATTCAGTCGATACAGAGCTTTTCCATTTGTTTACATCTCTTCTTCCTCCTTCTCTTCCTCCTTGAGGCGTCTTTCTTTCTTCGTTCCTCCCGTTCATCACCTCTCTCACGAGGGAGTCTCCCATCGATCGCTGCTGACTTTGTTTCTGTGAAGTTTGCACCTCTGCACTGGAAAAAATGCTGCTCCAAAAACAAGTTCAAAAAATAATGAAAACAAGGTGTTTTCACTTGAAATAAGTCCAAAAATCTGCCAATAGAACAAGTGAACATTAGCTTGGTGAGATTCCTTGAAATAAGACGGGATATTTAGATAAATCACATCTTGTAATTATCTGGGAGAACTCATTTTGAACTATATTTTACCAGAATCAGGAAATGT